CGGTACAAATTTCGAATTTATATTTTATGTGGGCCATGTGGGCTAGAACTAAGGAAGAGTGCGCTGCATAAGGTATTTCAGTTCTTATTTGTTGACTCATGGCGAGCTGCGGCTTTCCGTTTCTATATGCAGATAAGGACAGCGTTCGTTAGTAGCGACAAGACACCAATGTTAGAACTAACGGGAACCAGTATTTATAAAGTAAAAGTTTGAATAATTACAGAGGATGATAATACACAACAATAATTCATCTGTCTTGTCCCTTCAGTCGCCGCTCTAAGTCGTGGGGTTTTTTAAATTTAAATTCTACGAAATGTTTTTATTTTAGTACGGCGTTGATCGCTCGACGCATTTAATCGATCTAAACGATGCGTTAATGAACTATTTCTACCGCATCTAGTTAACGGAAGGAGGAGTTTGTTTATTAGTCAGGTTATTTAATGTCCATCGGTTTTTCTTTGAATGATACGTTATAGGCCGATTTCGTTGTGTGAACCTAAACACATCTATCGTTGCGCGTTAAGTACCAACCATTATTGAACGGTTTTCTTCAAATACTAATTAAAATCTACATTAAAATGTATTTAGCGCGTTATAGACCAGGGCGGCTCTGTTTTGAGGTTGATGTGAGAGGGGGCAAGCAATTTTTTTCTGGATTACCTTCAGTACAACTCACATAATAAAAGTGTAGATCCCTAGATCTGGGCGAGATTGGGAACAATTTCAAAATAGCAAAAATATTTGAAAAATTTAAAAAAATAACTATTTTATCTGAGTTTTTTACTTATATCTTAGAACCTATGCATTTTGGAAGAATATTGAAGAGGAAAAAGGTTTTAGAATTGAATTTTGCACAATATACTGTAAGTTAAAAATGTTTAAATTTATTACCGTTGTTGCAAAATAGAAATAATTGATGAAAAAAAAGGCAAAATAATCAATTTTTTTGGATAATTTTTTAAAAATATTTTAATTGCTCCGAGGGCATTCTAATTTTGGTAAACAAAACTTTAGAGTATAATAAAACAACACACCAAATTTCATTCAAATCGGTTCTATAGTTTTCGCAAAATAATTTTTTGAAAAAAATTTTGAAGAAAAATGTTCGAATTTTCAAAATGTTGCACAGCCTCAAATAAAGCGTCTCTGCGCAGATCCGCCCTGGTCTATTACTACTTTGGGAGTTCGAAATGAGAACCAAGGAAATAAAACTGGTCTGTCAGTGAGTGATCTCTGCTCTTACAGTCGTAAAGCTTTCGAGTTTTCCGTTTCAGTTACAGTAAACAGCAGAGGCTCTTATTTGAGCAAAAAGATGCGTTGAACAGGAAATGAGTTATCTGAAATATAAATATAGTTGCAGTAATCGTTTAAAATGTACAAACAGCAACCAGATTTCGGGATTTATTTGTTTCACTTAAAAAGTCTTAAGAAATTGCGACAAAGCAGTTCTGTTTTTCGTTATTGGTAAATTGGGCGGCTTGTAGGTAGACGGTGACAAAGGCCACACAGATCTACTACCTAACTCGGTAAACCTCTTAAAACTTGTTAAATAAATAAAATTATTGCTGCGAGTCACTTAATCCCTCGATTTATGATCGAGATATAAATAAATGTGTGATAAAATTTCTACAGCGTACGTTTTATAAAAAAAATGTCTTAAGTATTGAGAATTTGTATTAGAAAGTTTCAATGAGGCTAACTATCCTTTATTGTTATTATTATAAATATCCACATGCCTATATTAATAATAAAACCGTTTTGCCGTACTCTTCCTTCCAGGTGAAAGCACTTTTATGGTTTAAATTTTCAACATTCCGCGTTATGAGAATTAAATACTTCTTCGATCATAGTTTACAATTAACAAGTCGAATGATTCACATTTATTTCCAGCCGTTATTGTTGTTAGTAATCATAATCGTGGTTTGGTTCGTTTTAGCAATGTTTACACTAGATAAGATATAGGGATTATAAATATAACAAAACATAATGGAGGTTTATGTAGGTATAAGTAACGCTTGGATGTATCAATCAAATAATTGCAGCGAAATTAATCAAAAAGATAACAGAAAATCGATAGTACAGCTGGACAGAAAGAGTGGGACCCTATCAGTTTTTAATTAGTTGCGATAACACATGTTTATACTCGAGCTTATTGAGAACTATAGTGAATTTATTCAGAGAGGAAAAGTGAATATAGTACAGAGTTCAGTGTTATAATCATCAAAAGTAACTTCGAAAGGGGCGTATTTTCCCCCCTTAAAACGTGAAATTTGGTATGGGTAATTATTCTTTAGCACCAACATTTCAGTTGGCCATTTTGCAGTCTGTGTCATTGAATTTCAATAATATAAATTCATCCGTTAATTTTTTTTACGTCAGGAGTCATGACGTCATTCAATTTCAATTACTTACATTTGTTATCATCAGGGTTTAACAAAGAAACTAATTTCCGCCCTAAAATTTCAATTTGTGGTTAATCTGAATATATACGAGGTGTGTCACGACGACCTTTTGTTAGAACTACGTGCTAGGAGGAATCCAAACTGATCTAATTTCAGGATTAATGAAGTTAGTCACAGTTTTTTAAATATCGTCACTGTTTATCTCCAGAAATTTAATAAATAACGAAAGTGTGTTGTTAAATTCATAAGATTATGTTCTGTAACTTTATTATCCGATGTTATGTGGAATTGAGCCATATATATTTTGTAAGGGTTACAGTTGTATGTTTTTGGTATATTTTTTGCAAAGTATATTAACAGCGTTACTAGGTATGAAATAGTAACGCAAGATAGTGTTTAAATTAAAACAATATCTGAGCACCTGCATAATTTATATGTTACACTAAATTGTTGAGTGCATAGTAAAAATAATAGAATAGAATAGCGATAATACATGTTCATATAAATCTTCGAGGGATTTTGAAAAACCCCTAATACTAATATTTTATTAGCTATACCTGATATGCAAATTCTGTTATTTTACTTTAAAAGGTACTAAGCTAATTAAAATAAAGCCTAAAAAGTCATTCGAATTCAAAGCTGTTTAATATTTTTCCACTTACTTATCTCCTTTGTATCATAAAAGTAATGACAAATACTGTCTATAATTTTTTTTATTTGTCACATTAATCTTTCTAAGTAATAACTAATTTTTACTTGAAAGAAAACCGAGTCGTCATTATTAAAACATTAAGTGATAATGGTATTATCTATTAGAAGCAACACTACAGATAATGATCTATTGAAAAAATATGTAGTTGATTATATTTTCTCTTTATTTGGACTAAATTGAATATATCAACTCATAGGCTATTGATTATATCCAAAAAAAAAACAGGGTTAAAAGGAACTATGACGTTCAAGCTATTTTATTGCATGAATCGTTCAAAGGGTCATTTTAGATGAAAAAACCGCGGATTGCTATTAAATTAGAGGGTGGAAATTAGAGATAGGGGTGAAATTGCACCCCTTTCAGTTTTTTAATTGTAGCTCGAAAACGAAGTAAAATTTCACTATAATTCATAGGAAAAATTATTTAGAGAATTGAATTTCCCATCGAAATGTCTTATTTAAAAAGTTTTAAAGGAAATATATATGCAAAAAATCGTTAATAAACAATTTGAATAAAACAACAAAAAATTTGATTGTTTTATTTTATTTTTTACTTTTCTGCGCCTAGTTTTTTTTTAGTGAAGATAGGTATAGGCATTGCTTCATAGAAAAAAAAGTAGATAAAATTTCCTTCAAAATAAGAGGTTGTAAAGTATTTTTGGAAAATTGACTGATATATGGCCGGTCAAACTTACAATTAGCCAATTTTTGGATTTTCGTCGCGTTTATCCTTAAACGTTAAGTCATTAAAAATGAAAAACCGCGGGGTGCTATTAAATTAGAGGGTTGAAATTAAAGATAGGGGTGAAAATGCACTTTTACAGTTTTTTAAATATAGCACGAAAACGAAGCAAAATTTCGGTATTAGTTTATAGGAAAAAATTTGTAGAGAATTTAATTTTCCATCGAAATGGCTTATTTAAAAAAATTGAAAAGAAAAATTTTATGTAAAAAATCGTTAATAAACAATTTTTAAAAAAAGCAAAAAATTAATGTTTTTTTTTTACTTTTTTGACTAAATTTTTTTAGTTCCCTTCAAGTTATAACCGGTCAATCTTAAATATTTTTTAAATTTTCGTCGTTTTTAATTATAATGATTGTAATTTTTATTATTTTACAACAAATTGGTTCTTTACTTAATAAAAAATTATTTCAAAAGTTTTATTTGTTAATAATGAAGAGTTTGACAACCTAGGGTCAAAAAAGTAAATAAAGTCAAAAAATCTTATTTTTTGTTTTTTTCAAATCGTTTATTAACGATTCTTTGCATAAAATATTTCTTTTAAATTTTTTAAATACGCCATTTCGATAGGAAATTCAATTCTCTAAATAATTTTCCCTATGATCTATAGCGAAATTTTGCTTCGTTTTCGAACTACAATTAAAAAACATTTGCATTTTCACCCCTGTCTCCAATTTCCACCCTCTAATTTAATAGCGCTCCGCGGTTTGTTCTCTAAAATGACCATTTGAACAACACTTACAATATTAAGCTTACTCGTGAAAATAAATTCAACATCATTGTAGGTATTGAGATTTTTACATAAACTATCTTACTATTTCGATTTATAAAACAAATTGGAAACCTCGTTGAAAACCGAAGAAAATCGCAAATATCTTCAAACTTCAACCATTATAATGTCCACGTTAAACGAAAGAGAGTTTAATGTTACACAAATTGGGCAAAAAGTACAGGGCGTTCAATTTTAAAATACAAAAGTTTTTGCTGTTGTATTTCCGGTATAAGGATAAGGCACCGGAATGATTCCAAATGTCGTCGTGACGCTCTATAAAATTTATAAAAAACACAGTTTATAACGTGATATATTTTACCGTAGTACTACCGTGTGATTTTTAGAGGATGTTTACGATCTCTTCCTTTTTCAGGTGCTGCACCGGGATATTGAAAATCACGGTAAAATAGTGGGTTCAGTGGTGAAATTGTGTAAGAGGACGGATGCGAAATGCAACACGATCAACGCGCGAAGAATTGCAAATGGCCTTGAGAGACGCTGGCACCTCCTCTTCCTGAGATCCCTGGAATGGCAGTGTTATCTGGAATCCTTGTCTAAGAAACAGAACCTCAGGGTAAGTGCACCTTTTTTAAGTTCAGTCAAGTTAAAGTTTTAAAAAAAGTCTTGTCGCGATTAATATATTTTTAAAGTTAATTTGAGGCGAAGCTCTTCATCTATTATTTGTATTCCTTGCTTGCATATGGCAATCGTAGAATTAAAGATCGCGACTGTAGCGTAGTCGGTCGAGCATGCGGCGGCAAGCATTTCTCGGCCAGACTTCCTATTCTGGTCCGGGTTCGATCTCTGGCGTTGACACTGGCAATGTCGATGGATAATAGGTGTTTGTCCGCGTTTTTTCAAGTGTCTCTCGGTACCAGAAACAAAGAAAGGAAATAATGGAGACTGAAACGGAAAACTTCTCGGTCGCTGTTGGTTAAAAATATTGTAACACAGAATCACTCGAAGTGATACAAACAGATGTATAAAGTGTCCAGGAAAACAATTCAGTGGTTGGCATATTAATTTTCCACATCGTAACTTGCGTCCATAAATAAGAAACTGCCCCGTGGTATTCGGTATTAAAAGAAAAAACGAAAGTCCAATTACGGCTTTAGTTGAATTCTACCACAATTAGAAAGTGTGAAGTTTTAAGAATCGGTGCTCATATTTATGTTACCTTTGATGGCAATCCATTGACAGACAATAATGATCATTATTCAGTACAGCTGTGTAATTAACTCAATGTTAAATTATGTCAGAAAACCGCACGTAACTACGTACACTTTATTAACATTAAATATGTATTGTTAAAAAATTGCAATTTTTAAACGCTCCGGGAAATCCGCTGTAAAATTAATCTTTGACTTGGGCTTAATCGAATGACAAAAGTATGTAATCGATTCGTCTTTTATTATTTTATTTTTCCTTGAATCTCCACAATCAGGCCTTTTATGTCCTATTAAATCGCCGTTAAAATTGTGTCTTTCATTTCATGTCCTGCCTTATTCATTATTGTACAGGGTGATCTACTCGCAATCAGTGGCGCCTCGTCATGTATATGCAAAAAAATTGCAATTAATTCTAATCTAAGAAATTACAAAATTCAAAATGGAGGTTCCAATATGGAATTTAAGAAAATGGTTGGAGAAGTACTTTCTTCTAGAAAATTTGAATATAACTTTCTTATTCCATCAGCTATTTTGGATTTTGTTATTCCGACTTGAAATTCGTAATCAGCGACCCAGAAAACCTGAAGAACCAGGTGTGATAACCTCAAAAATAGCACTTTTAGGTTAGGATATCCAAAACCTTTAGGTTTAGTCTGGTTTCTAGTTTATTCATATTTTTCCGGCCTGTTGCATGTCATTGGAGACAAAGAAGTAAAGATACATTTTTAAAAATTAATTATAACAGACGATGGAATACATTAAAATAAACAAAAAAAACTTATATGACATGGGTCCTAAACTCCATTTCCGAGAAAAAAATGATCAAAATCTCCAACTTGTACAAAAGTTCGATTAATTAAGGAATATTGACATAACTGCATGCATAGAAAACCATAAAATACAATGTTTATCACTTTTTCGAACTTCTTTATGCTTAATTCTAAAAAATAATTAGCGTTGTAATAAGTTTAAAGTTCGATAAAATTGATATTGAGCAATGTGACAACGGCGCGGCTGATAATACAAGGTACTAAGCTGTCCAGCAATACATAATTCAGTTGGTATCTGGAATTGGACCGTGTCTGAGTGTTTTTTGCGTACCATTTTTTCGTCTTTTTGAGGTGTTTTCCAGCAAGTGCGCGAAAGTTGGATTCGAAGGTGTCGTGCGTGCATCGAAAAATGTGGTAGATATTTTGAGCATATGTTGCAGTTTGTTTTGTACTTGTGCGTATAAAAATTACTGAATTTTGCTATTTGTAAGTACCTAAATTATTTTTAATACGTATGATTATTTGAACGACGTGAATCTTTGGGTACTTTAATTATATATTTTTATATATTTAAAAAGTTCCTGTTTTAAGAGATTCATAATTACTAAAATCCGATCTAAAATTTAAGCGCAACACTACCTTCGTAGTACAAAATTGGAAAAGAATTGTCTTGAAATTTACCAAATATTTCGCAACATTTAGATTTACATTTTTGTTATTCCATAGGACAAGTCTGCCGCGTGCACACGTGGTGTGCATCTGTTAATCTTACGCCCCTGTAATATACAACTTTTTTGTCCATTAATGATTACTCTATCTCATGCTGAAGTAATGGCAGTCAAACTTGTTACACCCTGTATATACGAAGAAACAGTATAGTAATAGTTATGATGTATCCGCTAACTTCCTTTTCCTTCAAAAAGTATTCAGTGAAGGATAAATGTCTAAATCGGTTTAAATCTAAGAGGTTTATAAACGTGGAAGCTATCCAAGAATATGAAGTGTGATATTTATTTACCTTGAATTTATAAATAAGTATTAAATGGCAATCAAAAGACGAGTTTTACTGTAATCTTCTTTTCAACAGACATCTTTTACGCTGACATTTTAAATTAGAGGTCTATTTTAGGACGCGTTTTTAGGCAACTTCTTAATTGCCAAATTTTTAAATAGCATCAACGCCGGCCTTGACTTCTTTGACAAATGTGTGTCGTTCTATGTTTGTTTAACATTTGTTTTATTATTATATTATTTTGCTATTTTATATCCATTTAATGTTTTACCTTATGAAACGACTCTATTACATATCCGTGTTAATTTGGATTTAGTTAGTACACACTACGGCTTCAAATGAAATGCTTACATGTCACAATTAGTTTACGCGCGACGGGGTGACGTACGATAAGGGTTTGGTGACTTTTATCGCTATTCGAGTTGTTAGAAACCATCGGCTTCCTCTGCTAAAACAAATAGTTTAATAAAATCCTATAAAGTTGTACGTCATCGCACCGCTATCTCTGGTGTCACTGAAATAGAAAATAGTTCTTTCAGAACGGAAGCAATACGAGCCCGCCTTGTGTAAATATAGATACGTAAACATATTTTTACTATAAATAAATATAAACCAACTTAAAACGAGATTTTGTGACTAATGACAATGGGGGCCAGGTAACATTGACTTATTTCGAAGGCCTCCGTTGCGTAAAAACTGATCGAAATAGAAAGGAAAAATCTTCAGATTCACGGAACAAACATAAAATTTTATTAATTTTTTTTTAAGCATCCGAATAGGTTCAATTTAAATTCCTTTATTGTCAAGACAAACTATAATTCTACAATAATTCTTGATAGATACATAATTTTTACTTTTTGTAGTTCATGTCTTGCAGAGGTTTTCACAAATTTAGTAGTTTTTGTGGTTTTCTAGAACATGAATAACCTTGATTCCGGCTATATATTAGCAAGGCAGGTATAAGATTTCTAATTTTGTCGTTTTAATACAATGACGTCGATGCTTCATATTTCTTTATAAGCGTTAGTTAGTTTTTAAATGGTCTTCGTGCGCTTATACTGTCCAAACTGTCGAGTGAAAGGTATGCAAATTATTGCAGCGGTAAATGTATAACATGCATACAGGGTGTGACAGAACTAATGACAAATATCTGAGGATGATGCAATCCGCCACAATAAGAAAGCTCCTATGGAATTTTGTCTTAGTCTTAAAGACTTTTATTTCCTAATTTATTGCGAGGTATTTTACAGCGTTTTTTTTTTTCTAAACTATTAAGGAAAAACAGGTTAAGGTTGGAATGTCACATATTTCGAACAATTTCTATAAAACAAATGTGGTGCTTGAAAAAATTGAAGTTTATTTTTAATCACCTTTTTATCCCACTTTGTTGGAAAACGCGAAGTTTCAGGACAGATGTCCATCGTGCGTTAATAAATTCAGTTTGTGTTGTTCAATTTCGTCGGGGTACTTCAAACTTCCATTCTCCTCTTAGGCCAGCAACACAAAGGCTTGCATCACTTGGTGATGAATAAATAACAAAGATCCCGTCCATTGTTAGCCGTACTCGAAGAACAATTTATCATGATGCGCACCTCCCACAGAGATCCGTTATAAAAAGGAGAATTAGACATTATCAAAATATCCGTCGCCTTATTAGTACGCTATTTTAAATAATTTATGGACCTTCGACAGAATTAGATTTTCAGATACTGAAGACACCAGACATGTGTGCCTAGAAAAAAATGTATATAGCCTTCAAAATGTTTACTGTTTAAAATAGGCCAATTATTTCCCAATTCACTGCTATTTTTAAACAATGTAATACATGTGAAACGGCAGGAGTTTATGAACGCATAAAAAAATTTGTTAAAACCGCCACCGGTTTTAAACCAGTAAATAAATTACGTGTAAAAAAAAAATAAGAACTACTTTTGCCTATATATTGTTTTTCTTGCTTCGCAATGTGCTACATGTAAAATCAGATCTGACAAAATAAACAACCGGGAACATATTGTGTGTCAGTGAAAAATGAAACGTATGGGGCAGATATTCTAGCATTTACACAGAAATTAGGTCAAGTATGTTTGGATGATGAGTGTGGGAGACATGTCTGTTTATTATGGAGAAGTGGCTATTATCGTGTTTTGAAAAATGTTAAACGGGTTTTACATTTAACTATTTTTGACCACGCAAGTTGTTCGTCACTATTCATGAGCAAAATTGAAGGGTATCGGCTTTTAGAATAAAATTCAGATATGATTTGATTACAACAAACTATGGCATTGTGTATATTTGTATTACATTTTAAATCGCAACAAATTTTCTGCACAGTATTTATACTTCTTGCCAAGTATTAAAATGTTAAAGTAATAGAGCTTCAGTAAAGATAATATATGTTTGTATATATTCAGCCTATTTTGAAAAAAGTCTAATTTTAGATTCGGTTAAGATTAATTAAATTATATATTTAGCATAATTAAATAACATGCATTTATTATTTATATATAAGGAAGTAAAAATACCGAATTAGTATTTTACTGTACATAATTCGTTACCTTAATATTTATTATACTTTTGAGCAAGGTTGGCAAATATCATGATATTTATATAAATATCAAATATC